TTAATTTGCATGTATATCCTTGTTACTTAAAGTTTGCAACATACATGCTAGAATGAATTAGTTATTTTGAATAAAAAATGATATATTGAAGAAATTCTAAACAACAATGCAACACTAGAACTTATATTTGAAGATTATATAATAATTTATTTATTTTTAAAGATTAAAATCATAGAAAATAAAATTCACATAACAAAAAGAAAAAACATGACAAGTAGAAGATAGAATCCACATATGACATAACAAAAAAGAAAAGGAATATGATTGATGATTTGTAGAAATTTATGAAAGAAAATCTATAAAAATTTAAAACATATGAGTAAATAAAATAAAAATAAATAATTAAATAAATAAATAATAATAATAATAATATAAATTGAAAGAACAAATTAAAAAAACTTTAGAATTGAGTCAAACATATAAAATTATTTTCTTATTTTTTATTTATATTAATTATTAAATAAAAAATTATTTTGGAGAGGTCATTAAGAAAATTTATAAAAAATTTTAAAAAATTTATGTATTATGTAAAAAAATTTTAAAATTTTGGAAGGGTCATCCTATAAGAAGGCTCGGCCTCAAGTGTCTTGCAGCAGTCAGGCATTAGTCCAAACCAGTAACAAGACATGGAGTTGTGCAAATGAGACCACCTCTATGTGGCCAAGGTGCCATAGGGATACATGTTTTTGACGAGCACAACTAGGCACACAGGTGCAATAGAGAGAGACACTGAGAGTCAAAATTAACCTTTCCATAACCCCCCGATCCAATATCATTGGCTTCTGAAAAATTGTTTGTGTATTTCTTAAGCTCTTCAAAAGAGAAGCGTCTTGCTCCTTTTAACTGAGGTATGCTGCCACTGCTCTTCTTACGATCCCAGTGTACTGTGTTTTAACAGAAGAGAATCAGTCATAAAACCCCAGATATTCCATACAATGAACTTGAAAAGGCTGGGTAAATGAAATACTTATCATACCAAAAGGATTGCTCTCTTTGGTTGCTCCTTCTGCTCTCTTCTTCTGACGATAA